TACATACACAGTACGTGCACGTATGTATGCTATACATTCTTATTTTTTATATTTTTCTTCCTGTTGTATATAACTTTGTTTTGTTTTAATGAAATAAATAAAGGAATTGAATTGAATTAAACACTGCAGAATTCACTGTGTAGACATCCACCTCTTCTGCTCTCTTGTGAGCAGAAGAGGTGGAAACTTTCATGTCTGAAGAACTGTTTTCATGACGATGAAAAAAATCAGAGGCGTTTTGATTTGGAAGCGTCTGTTGGCAACAGCCGGCGGTGATGTAATCAGAGGAGTTTGGGGACGGGCGGCAGAAGAGAGCGCTGTGGTTTGAGGCGTCACCTCGCAGCGAGACGGTTCAAAACTCCACTGTGGCCGTTTCTGTGGGAAGTTTGCATTTTGTCCTTTTTCATTATTCCTGTTTTTCTGGGTGCTTCAGTTTCCAACAACACGCTGGACAGTCTAAACTGTTTGCATTTATGTGGCCTGTTGCGTGCTAAAAGTGTGAAATAACACTTCCTTACGTTTGCTGAATTCAGCTCTCTAGATATGACAAACAAGTGTAGAAATGGCTCAGGAGCTGAACACAAGTCAAAGAAATAAAAAAGGCAGGGGATTATGAGAGAAGTGGCTGCAGCTGCGACTAATGGAACGTGGAACAGGTGGAGGTGAGCGAAGAGCAGGAGCTGAACTGAGGAAAAGTCACAAGAGAACAACAGAGGAACAGAACCAAGCTATAAAAACACAAAACGAGCAAACCAAAAAGGAAAAACTCAATCAAATGCAGAAGAACTACCAACCTGACCAAAGTAAAAAAATAAAATAAAATAAAATAACTCTCAGCACACTTCAAATTCCTTGACAGTCTGGTAAAAAATTTTTAGAAGCTCTTCAACATTTCGAATCTTGGTTTGTGTCGGAGCGCCGACTTTCAAGCGTGTCACCATGTAAAATTTACATCTCCATCTCAGCCGCGGGGGGGCTCCCGGTGCAGGAACCCGGCCGAGGGAGGGACAGGAATTATGAAAGAGGGAGAAAGTGGCAAAGATTTCAGGATATTTCATCAGTGAGACTGGAAGGCGTCTCGGCTCTGTGCATGGAGGGTGGAGGTTGGGATGAAAAGGTGGGGTCAGAACTTGAGGGAGGTCCAGCTTCCTGTTCTTTATTTATTTATTTTTAGGTAGCCTTGTTTCCTGTGCAGAAAGACGCAGGACAATCTTCTCTTTTTTTTTTTATCTCTGCGGAGCTGCTATAATTCAATTAAAGCTGTGACACAGGAGTGAGGACAATTGATGCCTCACATTAGAGAAACACCCAGTCAGGATTAATTACCCCGTCATCGGCTGCTTAAACGGCTTTTAAATTATAATCTGCCTGAAATCGTAATAACACCGTCAGTAATCGAACAAGAAAGGAAAAGCTTGGGATCTATTTCCATCTGTGTTGGATTAATAATGCTTCATTAGTAATTGTATCAATTCAAACTTGCAGGAAAGTGAGGTAAAAACAAGAAGAGAGGGCAGTGGCGTCACTAGGCCTATTTTAGGGGGGCTGGAGCCCCCATAAAATATTTTAAAGCCCCACTAAATTATTT